CTCAGTCACCATACACCACAATTTCTACAATTAAGAAACTTTTTATAGAACTATTGGGCCTAATTTTGCAGGGTATTAGGTTCGGCCGAATGTTGACCCAGTGCGCATTTTCGGGTAGCGGCTGCAGATTTTCACGTCACTTTTTATAGAATGTAGATATTGTAATTGTCTTCATACAAGATATCAATGATAGGAGATTGACCATCCATTCGACTTATATAAAAAAGATAAGCGAAACAAAATAACACAACTACAAGATTATAGTCAGCACAAAATATATACAAATCAGATCAGATAAAATATTGTAGAGAAAGAAAATAAAATAGTTACATAAATCAAATCTAATCAAAAGAGGATGGCGATCACCGTCGGCCATGAAGCACACACTCCGATCAATGTTCTGACAACATGGATGAAGATTAGGTGCATGATGTACACAAACTGCCGATCAAAATTATTTTTGCAGTGCCGACTCTTCGGAAGACACCGAATACAATGGTGTGGCAATGAAAGTCGATGATAGCCGGAGATGGAGGAAATGAATTTCAACTTAAACTAAAATGATCTAATACATATGAATGTTTGGGGAAAATTTATAAAATTATATCCCCCTAAAATATATGTACACAATAAATATATAAGATAGATTTGGGCCTAAGTTAATAATAATAATAATAATATAGCTAACAAAACTAAAACCCATCTAAACATTCGAAATAACCTCCATTCTCAATTACCAATCTTTACTCTTTTAAAGATTAAAATATTTATTAGCATAAGATAAATGTTAGGGAACTGATTTATCGAACAAAACACATTCGAACACTTTAAAGGGCCAACTCCTGAAGCGTGGGCGGTTCACACTTATAACTACGTTTCAACAACGAAAAACAATGCAGAACATAAAACAACAATAAGACAAGGTGTTTGTTGACTCGGTTCGATTATCAACATATCTACATCCGGGGGATACCAATCAAGGAGGAATTCCACTAACCAGTGCTGATTAAGGACACAAACAACCACAACTCATTTAACTCTAATACTAGTCATGGCTAACCCAGGAAAATACCTCCTAAGGTTCTCGTTGCCATAACCTCGTACTAACAACGACCACACAGCAAAGAAGTCCAGAGCTTAATCATTCCCTCCGGTTGGAACTTCATTAATTCCGAACACCTTCGACCTCTCCGACGAATTTTTCTGTCAAAAACTCATTCAAAACTAAGGGGAATCGATATGGATAGAGCGTTAGAACTTCACTCCATATTCTTCTTTCTAAAGTATGATCTCTAAATCACTCATCACCAATCTTCAACCCTATTAGGTTGAGTAAATCACTCACATTCCTGGAATAAAAGATTCCACATTAATTTCCCTTTGTACCGAAATGGAAGGAGTGAGTTCCCATATTTTGATCTTTCCTCAAATATGTCTTTTGTCTTTTGGAAAGTCTTTGCTGCATAAATTAAGACACCGTTAGTTCATCTGGCAAAATAACTTAGGGGAATTTCCATTCACATTCTCCCCCTTTTTGGCATATAAATCACGAATAAAAGTGCAAGAATTAACCTACTCGTGCACTCAATCATCCAAGAGTGAGTCCAACTATTACATGCCAACAAACATAAAAAGGGTACAGACAGCCTTCACATTGATATGGTTGTAATCACTTCGGACTTCCAACGAAAATAGCAGTAGCAGATAAAATCAATAATCAGCAAGGCAGACAACAACGAACAAAACTTTAACAGCTCCCCTTGAAAAATGATCTCCTATTTTCCTGCATTACTCCCACGATCAGATGACAAAGAATATAGACCTTCAAAAACATCCTCACTTTGCTGAGAAATGGTTGCAGCAGCAAATTTATCACCGTCACCAACAACTATTCCAACAATATCATCAAGAATTTCAGTTGCTTCACAAACAATATCTGCAGTCGTTACGTCGTGATGACATCTGTCTAACACCCTGTGTCCTGTGATGTTCATTCCAATCTTTGGTTTTGTTCTTCTTCAAATTCTGCTTCACCATCGGAACTGATTTGTTCTCTGGAACTTCAACATCAGCAAGAAGTCCACCTCGGACAAATGTAGTAGGTTTTCTGTGTGAGGACTCACAAAAACCTATTCCCTTGTGATCACCAAAAGGTTTTCCAATCGAAAGTACTTCATCCAATTTCTCCTTTCCCTTTCAAAGTCTATCATTCTCTTGCTTCAGCTGCACATTTTCAGCCTTTAATCTATCAGCTTCCATTGATTTTTCATGAACATCCTTCTTCAAAATTTCAATTTCATCATCCAACTTATTTTTTTTTTGAGTTTCCAATCGGTAAATGGTGTCCAAAAGTTCTTTATTTTTCACCAGTGATTTCTTTTGTTCTGCCACCATCTCCTTATAGGCTTCAATCAATTCATCAGCATCAAGTTCCATGGATTCCTCTGAAGCTTTATCAGTAGAAGCACCATCATCTTTAATAGATTCAGATTCATCGGCCATGAAAGCAACCACTTCATCATTTTCTGAGTTTTCTTCGCCTCCAACAGACCTTTCATCATCATTGTCACTCCATGTGGCTTGGTATGCTTTCTTCTCTCTTTTCTTCACCGTTGGACATTCAGATTTAATATGACCAGCTCCTCCACATCCATAGCAGGTAGGCTCTTGAACTGATTCAGGCAACTTCTTGAATCCACCATCGAACTTCTCTTTTGGCTTGCTGTAATTTGATGGTTTTTGTTCAGAGTATTTCCGCTGTGAGCTAGAAGTACTCACACCCTGATAACCACTTCTGTTCTGAAGCTTCCTATATTTCATCTTTGCTGCACGTTTCTCACTAATCATCCTTGAAAGTTTTCGACTCAGAAATGCCATTTCCTCATCAGATTCGATTAGCTCCATGTCTTCCACACTTAAAGCCATACTTTTTGGAGTTTCATCTTCAAGATAATTCATTTCATAACTCACCAATGTACCATATAATTCATCCAAAGTCATACTTTTCATCTTTGGTGGTTCATCGAGCATAATCACCTTTGGCCTAAAATTTTTTGTGAGACTTTCAAGCATCTTCCTCACCAGCCTCTTTTCTTTAAAGTGCATTCCAAGAGCTTCTGCTTGATTGACAACATCCATAAAGCGATTATAGTAAACAACGATTGTTTCGTCTTCATTCATCTTCATTCTTTCGAACAATGTCTCCACATGATCTAGTTTAGATTCTCGGACTTGCGCTGAACGTTCGAATGCATTTTCCAGAATGTCCGAAGCTTCCTTGGCAATTTGCAGTTTGATATAAGCTTCGTCCGAATTTCATCCACAGCATTAAAAATCGAAAATAGGGCCTTCGAGTTTGCTATTCCAGCAGCTTTTTCATTCAACGTCCATTCACTCTTCGGTCTCTTCACAAGAGTAGTAACACCATCTTCATCTTGGATTGTTTACATAGGATGAGACCACGCACACTCAACAGCATCAGAAACGTCTTCACCTTGAAGCATCAGAAAGGCTTCCATTTTGTTCTTCCAACTTTGGTAATTTGTCCCATCGAACAATGGAGGTCTTGATGTTGAACGTCCTTCCTTACTCATGTCTGCAACTGTGACCAGATCTACTCAATGAATTAGAGAACACTGCTCTGATACCATATGTTGGGGAAGTGATTTATCGAACATAACACATTCGAACACTTTAAAGGTCCAACTCCCGAAGCGTGGGCGGTTCACACTTATAACTATGTTTCAACAACGAAAAACAATGCAGAACATAAAACAACAATAAGACAAGGTGTTTGTTGACCCAATTCGATTATCAACAAATCTACATCTGGGGGATACCAATCCAGGAGGAATTCCACTAACCAGTGTTGATTAAGGACACAAACAACCACAACTCATTTAACTCTAATGCTAGTCATGGCTAACCCAGGATAATACCTCCTAAGGTTCTCGTTGCTACAACTTCGTACTAACAACGACCACACAGCAAAGAAGTCCAGAGCTTGATCATTCCCTCCGGTTGGAACTTCATTAATTCCAAACACCTTCGACCTCTCCGGTGAATTTTTCTGCCAAAAATTCATTCAAAACTAAAAGGAATCGATATGGATAGAGCGTTAGAACTTCACTCCATATTCTTCTTTCTAAAGTATGATCTCCAAAAAAAAAAAAAAAAAAAAAATCACTCATCACCAATCTTCAACCCTATTAGGTTGAGTAAATCACTCACATTCCTGGAATAAAAGATTCCACATTAATTTCTCTTTGCACTGAAATGGAAGGAGTGAGTTTCCATATTTTGATCTTTCCTCAAATATGTCTTTTTTCTTTTGGAAACTCTTTGCTGCATAAATTAAGACACCATTAGTTCATATGCTAAAATAACTTAGGGGAATTTCCATTCACAATAAAGAATTAAAAATTATGGGTCTATTTTACTTTCAATTTTTTTATTTAGTATAAAATATTAGGTTTCTTAATAATAATACATATGTTTTATACATATGTACTACGTAGGCATTGATTGGCGTACACATAAGTATAGTGTGGATGTTTTTATATCACTTATTTACCTCACATCTATTCTATACATATGTTCTCGACGTGGAAGATTATAATTGGTTGGAGGTTCTATATATATGAACCTAAATTGAATGAAAGTGAGATAACAATCTTTGATACAACCTCCTTCTCTTTCTTTCATCAATATATTCATTCATATCAATTATATCACTCACATCACTCATTTACACCTATATACATATATTACATACCTATATATACATATATTATAATATACACACACGGCACATATATATATATACATATTTACCAATATTATAACATTATTATATAACACAGCACGAAGGCTCTTGCCTATTTATTTTTATACTATCTATATTATCTATTTTCTAAACTATGGAAAATATTGCAAAAATTTATTTTAAACCTCTGTCTCTCACCGGCAATAATTTTCTGACTTGGTCCCTGGATGTAGAAATGCATTTGGTTTCTATGAGCCTTGTTCATACAATTGCTAGTGAAAATGCGGCTACAAGCCAAGATCGGGCTAAGGCTATTATTTTCATCCGCCATCATTTGGACATTCCTCTACAGTTTAAATATTTGACGGTGAAAGATCCACTAGATTTGTGGAATGAATTGAGGGAGAAATTTGGACACTTGAAATATATCACTCTCCCGAAAGCCCGACATGATTGTCTTAACCTGCGGTTGCAGGATTTTAAAAATATTACAGAGTACAACTCTGCTATCCATCATATTACATCTCAGTTGAAACTCTCTGGAGAAATTGTTACTGAGAATGATAAATTGGAGAAGACTCTCTACCTTTCATGCTTTGAATGTTGTGCTGCAACAACAGTATCGTGAGAAAAACTTTCAAAAGTACTCATAGCTCATTGCATGTATTTTATTAGCTGAGCAAAATAATGAGTTACTGATGAAAAATCATCATTCCCGGTCCACTGGTTCCAGTACGTTCCCTTAAGTGAACGTGACATTTCTGAACGAGGCCGAGGACGTGGTAGAGGCCATGGACGTGGTCACGGTTGTGAGAGTCAACACGGTCGATATACCCCTTACAATCGCCGCAGTTTTGACATTAACATGATGCAGAGTAAACCCCAATATGGGGATATAGCCGAAAAGGCTAAACAGGGAAAGAGGCAAATTGGAATTTGTAATCGGTGTGGCATTGAAGGCCATTGGGCCAATACCTGCAAAACAGCCAAACACCTAGCCGATCTTTATCAAGCATCACTACAGAAAAAGGAGAAAAAGGTCGAGACTAATTACGTTGATAACGATGACGACCCTGATGATGATCTTCTGGATTACGACACAACACATCTTGATATAGCGGATTTTTTCGTAGATCTAGCAAACCCCCAGTGACCGACATGCTATGTCATTTTATATTTTGTAATATTTAAATTATCGCATACTACGTTTTGTAATGCATTTTGTGATATTTATATTTGCCTTTATTAATACAGTGTCTATTTATATTTGAAGGTTAAATGGATGCCAATCGAAATGATGAAAATATGTGTTCCATTGACAGTGAAACGACACATACTATATTAAAACACGAAAAATATTTCTTTTATTTGAAAGGGGAAATAATGAATGTCAATACTATAAGTGGCAGTGCAAATTGAAGGCTCTGGAGAAGCCATTATATTTCTCCCCGCGGGGACGAAAATTGTGATATAGTATGCACTGTTGGCCACTAAAGCTCGAAGAAATTTACTGAGCTTTCAGGACATTCGGAAAAATGGTTATCACATTGAAACTATGAGTGATACCGATGGAGAATTTTTATTGATCACCAATATCATTGATAAAAAGAAATGCATCACTGAGAAGTTACCCTCACTCTCTATTGGTTTATATTAAGTCAGATTAGGTGTTGTTGAAGCACACCTTATGGTGGATCAAAAGATTGCCGATTTTCAAATATGGCATGATCGCATTAGGCATCCTGGCAGTATAATGTGAGATGAATAATTGAGAATTCGCATGGCCATTCATTAAAAGGTCAAAAAATATTAAACTCAAATGAGTTAACCTGTGTTGCCTCCACTCAGGGAAAATTGATAACCAAGCCATTGTCAGCTAAAGTAGGTATTGAATTACCTACATTTTTTGAAAGAATACACGGTGATATATGTGGATGAATAGACCCACCGTGTGGGCCATTTAAATATTTTATGGTGATGATTGATGCATCTACCAGATAGTCACGTATCTGTTTATTATATACTCGCAATATGACATTTATGAGATTGCTTGCCCAAATTATTAAATTACGGGCACAATTCCCCGATAATCCAAAAAAAACTATACGTCTGGATAATACTGGTAAATATACATCGAATGCATTTGATGATTATTGCATGTCGATTGGAATTAACGTAGAGCACCCAGTTGCTCATGTTCATACACAAAATGGTCCGGCAGAATCACTTATTAAAATATTTCAATTGATTTCTAGTAAATTTAGTATTAATTTTTTATTAGTCTTAAAAATATTTGTATCATTCTAAAAAATATTTGCCAATATAATTAATTATTTGTTTAATATTATTTCAACAATTTATACAAATCGTACATCGCACGGATTTACACGCTTGTTTAATATATTTATATACAAAATTTATGTTCTTAACTTCTTCAATGTTATTATTCTAAAACGGATGGAATATTGAAATTACTGTTGAATATAATATTTTTGAGAAAAAAAAATTAAAAGATTGTATGATAAATATATATATATATGAAAAAAGGAAAAATAGCCAAAGAATTCCTACAGTATTACTTTATTTGTCCACATAATTTGTCTTTATATATATATATGTTTAACATAATTTGTCATTTTTTATTTTGAAAATATGATTATATACTTTAATCATATTTTAAATTTTATTACTTATATTTTTTTTAATTTTAATTAAAATATTTAGTTAATTTGATTTTAATTTATAATTATTTCTACGGATAATTGACATAAAATCCCTCTAACCCTTATTTGATTGGAATTCAGTCCCTATTTTAAATATATGTATTTACACTCCCTACTTTACCAATGTGTTTATATTTAACTCCCCCAACACTTAATCCATCTTTTTTGCTTCTGGTCCCTTTATTCGTCCAATTTTTCAATTTTTTGTATAGTTTTTTTTTTTTTTTTTTTTTATTTCTCTCGCAGTTAATTTCATCATTCTCTTCTTCACTCCAGTTGGATAAATATGTTTCCTATATTCCCATTAGAACCCTAACGAGTATCCCTGCATCTCTCTTCCCCACGCTCTAACATTCAGGTGAGTATATAATGTTTTTTATTTTCAAAATGAAATATTATGTCTTTAAGTATAAGAATTTAACTATTCTTTTTGGATTCAATAGTGTCTTTCAATTTAGATTCATCCTTCATTTTTTTCTTCTTATATCTCTCATTGAAAATAGATTAAGGTAGAAGTTTGAACGAGGCATATAACATGTTTGATAAAATATCCCAAAAAGGAGTTTGTGCTAATGTCAAAGAATTTGATGAATTATTATCAAAGTATTAGTTGTCATTCCCAATTCAAAGCCGTGCATAGCACACGAATGATGGGTATGTCAAAAAATCATAATCGATTACAACGATCTTGCATGACTACATTGACAGCATGTCTGACCGTATAGTATATGCATAAGTATTAAATTGGTATATATGTTGTTATTGGAAGTATATCAAAAATATATATTTTTTAGAATTAATAAAAGAATATTGATATTTTTTTTTTAATTACTAAACTAATTATATTTTATTTAAATATTTACAGTAATATAGATATATTATCGGGAATGAATGGAGTGCTAATTTATGTATTATATTGAATGTGGTCTTAAGTTGAGATTAGAACTGTTCAAGCATTCACCTTTATTTTCTTAGAATAAAAAGTATTGTAGCCATTGGGTAAATGTCAAGTTTTTTATATTAGTTCTTTCCGAAAGCACCGCCTCTCAGTTTGGTGAATCCATGGAAAAGAATATTAAACCATTATACAAATAATGGTTTTTTCTTTGATAAAAAAAAATAATAATAAAAAATTACTTCACTTTTCTTGCAATTCGTCACTTGCTTAACAAAAAGTTAAGTGATAAGGTTGGATTTGTAGTTGCCAATTGTCTAAAAAATAATGAATCTGAAGAATGTTCGTGGATCAACTTTTCTCATAAATACTAATATATTAAAATTTTAAGGACATTTTTGCCACAATGTGTTTGTTTTTTTTGTTTTTTTTTTTATTTTAAATTAAAAAAAATTATTATTTTATTTGAAATAATTTTCAATAAAAATATATTATTTATTGTTATAAAATCTCAAATCAAAATAGTACTTATTCGATATCCATTTATCTTTTGCGTTATTGTACTTAACGTTAAAATTATCCTTATATTTGTATATTTTTTTATACAAATGTCATTATATTAGTATTATAAAACACTAATAGAAATATTTTTGTAATACGTTTTGATATAATAATTAATATCCAAAAATCAACTAGCAAAAAGTAAATGGATACTTTAGTTATGGGGCATAGGGAGTATTTAAATTAAAATTTAAATCATTTCTCAAATTTTAAATCAAAATCAAACATACACAATCCAAAACTCAATTTCGTGTTACCAGAATATCGGGATGTGCTCATTTTGGTTTATTTATCTACTTCTTTATTATTTTTTTCTTGTAATTTTGAATATAAATTTTAGTTAAGATAATATTTTAATATTCCCTCCTTCACAATCTAAAGGAGTCTTTTTTAAAGTTTTACGATATATTTAAAAATAATAATATTTTATTAATTAATAAAAATATTTAAAAATATTTATAAAAAAAATATCTTTTTTTTTTTTGTTGAAAATTGTGATGATTATATAGTAAAAATAAAGAAATGGAAAATAATAATAATAAAAAAACCACTCTTTCTGTGTTTATTTTGTAAAATAATTTAAAGGAATATTTTTTTTATATGAATTACAAAAAATTATATAAATAATATAAAAATAATAAATATATATGATATATTAATATTTTTTGAAAAAATATATTAATTATTTTTGTAAAAAAAACACTTTTTTACAATTTATTTTTAAATTTTTTGTTATTTAATTAACCATGGTAATTTTCTATAAAAATATATTATTATTCTAGTAAAATTTTAAATTTAAATTAATATTAAAATAAAACCTCAAAATCAAATATCTAAATTAAACTAAAAAAAAATAACATAACCCTTATTATTTTAGTGACCATTAAAAACTCAACTAGTATTATAATAATATTTTTTTTATCACTTTAATAGAGGATCAACACATTTTTTTATATGACTATTTATTTGAATTTTTTATATAAAATGTTTGTGATTTTTTTTTTTTATGAAAATATATTGAATACTTCATTATTTTTTATTTTTTTATTTTTTTTTTCAGGAGTGATTATAGAAAGCTTTGCGAAAAATGGTTATCAAGAAAAGTATGGAAGGTGTTGTAGTTACTTTTCTAGTATTATTTCAACAAATGAGTTGGTTTTGTTTGCATTGTTGGAACTTATCATGAATTAAACTCTAAGGTCAGAATATGTTGTGTTGAAATAATTGAAATAAAAAAACTAAAGCTAATAAATCTAACATGATTCTCTTAGCGTTGTCGGAGTCGGATTTACAAATTGACGAGAGTTTTGTGTTCTTCAAATCTATGACGCAATTCCTCATGAGAAAACCGCTAGGGTTTTTGTTGTTATTCTCACAATAAGATATGAAAAGTAATAGTTGTTATGCTATGCCTGAGATCACAACCCTAATATATATCTCTTATTATTAATTGGTCTAATCACTCAATTAATAAGTTACCAGATTTCTACACATAAAAGATCCGCATTTACTAAATACATTTAAACCCAATAAATTTAATAGATCACTTAATATAGGTTTAACCTGAATGATAGCCCAAATAGTTACATTTAACCACAATTGGATTTTTAATCCACAATCTCTCACTTTGGTAAATGTATACTGAATAACCTTATTTTGCTATCAGATCCTTTAATGTATATTACCAATCTTATTTATAAAATACATCAATGCGGATCAAAGCGGCCATCACTGTATTTATCGCAATGGAACCGATCAGTGGTCACAACATCAATATAATCTAACATTCGATCAAGTGTGGATGCACAACATGTAAATTTCATGTAATGTGATCTTAACATGCCTATTTCCAACTGATCCACTTTAACTTTAATTTAGAACAACTGAATACTGAATTAAAATTGGATACTGAATACTGCAGTATAAAATAAAGTAACCTTAACTATATTTGAACATTGCTAATTAGCTTCCACT